TTGATGCCCAGCAGCCGTGCCTGAGGCACCTCCAGCTCCAGGCGGTACGAAAGGTTCCTCAAGGTGCACACACAATTCTCCACTGTCTGAACCAAACCAGAGAGATGCTGTGTCATCAGTTCTTTCTCACACAGGGACAAACCAAACCAGCCCAGGTCAGCAGAGGTGACATGGCACTGGGAGCACAAGTGCTGAATTGGTGCTGAGCCCTGGGCAGTGCTTGGGCTGCTTCTCCTGACACCCTCAACCCTGACCATCGTTACAACTGTGGTCTCTGCTATAGGGGCTTATTCCTTAGTGTTCTGAAAATGAAAAGCACAGGAGCTTATTTTGTTAAGGAGCGAATATCACATCACTGCTGAAAATGAGAAGCACTGAACAAGTTATGCAACTGAGTTTGGCTGTGCCTCAGTGCACTGGGGCGAGGTGGCAGCTGAGCTCAGGACATCACTGTGCTCAGCCCTGCACAGCCCCAAAGATCCCACCAGACACAGTTTGGCACAGAAGATGTGCAGACGAGACACGCACACACCTTGCTGTCATAATCTGAGGTGTTCACACAGGTGTGGATCACAAAGAGCAGCGAGTCCACCAGCCCCTCGCAGGACCTCATCTGCTTTCGTGCCTCTTCCCCAGCCGAGCTCAGGTTCCTGAGGGGTTGGAACGACAAGGGAACAAGGACAATCACTCGTGAGACAGTTTGCAGAAGGTTTGCATGCAGCCGACTGCTAACTGGCCAGCAATGCTGAGTGACTGATGTGGTGATTTTCAGGTTGTTCCCACATGACACAGGAGAGCAGTTGGAAAAGCTGAACTGCCATTTACAGAATAAACAACGCTGTTGCCTTTAAAGTGCCGTATCAGCAGGCCCTGCCGGATGACATGATCCTCCTTAAGAGCAGTCCTGCAGAAGAGAGGTACCTGAGGCATCCTGTCGTGTTGCGCAGCACGAGGGAAGCCTGAAACTTAATCTTATGATCGTCGTCGAAGGAGGAGCTGTTCCAGCCCGAGTGGGGCACGATCACAGTGTTGGTCAGCGTGGACAGAGCGTCTCTGATGATTGTCATCTTCACGGCGTCGCACGAGGACAAGTTCCAGAGCACCCCTGAGGAGAGATTTCCATTGCAGCGGAGTCAGCAGAGGGTGGCAAAGGAACACGGAGCGACACTGACGGCTCAAAAGGATTCACTCTAAAATGTGACGTGGTTCCAGACCAGGCAGGGCCTGGAGAGCCAGCACCCAAAAAGGAGGGAAGCAAGGTGAGCAGTGCTGGAGGGGATGGTTTTGGTGGGTTTTCCCAAGGATAATGCCCTGCCATTCCTGCACCCTTGCACTGCACGCCTGGGACATCAGGGACTGAGTGCAGATACAGAACCCTACAGAAAATTCCTTCCTGGAAACAACAGCAGCAAGCCCAGAGCGTGTTCCATTCCCCTATCAGCCAAAGGGAGCTGCTACCCCTCTCTCCCCCTCGGGCAGACACCCCTAGCTCCCTGCCCTGCACAGTCTCTGTACGTGACATTCGGATACAGAAGTTTAGACCTGACATAAATCAGAACTGTCTATGCAAGTCACATGGCAAACACAGCACTAAATCCTCTTTTTCATCAGGAATCACAGCTTGACGTTCATCTGAAGGCTCACCAGGCACTCATCTCACCAAAATACTCTCCTCCACACAGTGTTTCACCAGGGGGGCAGTCTCAGGCACACACACTCGCCCACCCAGCTGACAGCAGCTCCCCCAGAGCATCACTGCTGCACACACCCAGCACTCCTGACAGACCCTGGACATCCATCTCCTCAGAAACAAACCTCGAGGGGACCAGACAGCAAACACCACAAGGGTTAACAAAACCCAGAGTTCATAAGGCAGCACAAGTTTTTAATAGAGCCCCACGAGAACAAGAGAGCCAATTCTTCGCATGAGGACACCCTGTCCTCTTCAGGGCAGCAGTGAAGGGGCAGCATGGGGACACCACGAGAGGAGATGTACTGACTGCTGCTGCCTTGGTTTCTGGTCACAGGCAGCTGAAGTTCCTCGCGTGTCCCACAGAGGTTCCCAGAGATCCGAGTGTTGGTTCAGCTCACGAGGGTTACGTGAATGTTTGGGTGAACCTGTGGCTGCTGACTCGGCTGTCCCTGCATAGTGCAAGTCTCCCAAATGCATTTGGACAGTGACCTCAGCCACACGTTTTAACCCCTGGTCAGCCTTGCAGAGGTCAGGCAGTCAGACCAGGTCTCCTCTAGGTCCCTTCAGTGGAAACATGATGTTCTCCCCGGGATGTGCCTGCGTGTGGCACACACTCAGCTCACCTGGACTGAGCTCCTTGCACCTCACAGCAGAGCTGGTGGCTAACTGCTGCAGAAGCTCTCTGCAGAGGAGTTTGTGGGCTGTCCTGAAGGTCTCCCCCACGAGTTCCTGCTGTGCCTAGGTCAGTTTTTGTGTTTGACCACCCTGATTAGCATCATAGGTGAACACTCTGGTTGTCCAGGGACTGTCCTACGCAGCCTTGCTACAGAGTGGGTGTAAAAGGCACTTCCACTGAAGTGGCATCTGCAAAACAGGTCTTCTGGGTATGAGCAAACTTTGCACAAAACTCCTCCATGAAGAGCAAAGATCTACCAACAATGAATCTGCAGGCATTAAAGTGCTCAAGGATTCCTGACCCAGACCCATTTCAGAGCCATGTGTGGAGCCCTTGCTCCTGCTCAGCAAAGGCTCAGGCACAGCAGAGACTTGAGAGCAAACTGGGACATTAAGAAATAGGTTTAAAAAGTACCCTCTGAAGTTGCTGTGTAGAGTTTTATCACAAAGCTTCCTCCAAGCAGCCTGCTACACTCTCCAAACATTGGCTCCTCCGTGGGGATTAGCCTGGGAGCAAACTGGGGAGTTGCACTGAGTACCCAAGGCAAACCCTGCCCAGGGCTGGACTAGCAGGGAGGCAGCTCAGTTAGGTGATTAATGATTAATTAACCCCGTGTTCAGTACTGAAGACAAAGCTCCCTCCAGGACACTCTGTCTCAGCCTGGGAGAAGCCTCCTGCTCTTGGTGTTACACAGCCCATCAGTCTTCACCTCAAAACGAGGACACGACCTGATCGTTTTAAGGTGCTTATTTTAAGATAATTGGGAGCAAATTTAGTGCTTATTACAAACAAGACCTGAAGGCAAAGGCAGCTATAATTTGGGAAATTTCCATTCAAAGACAAGGAAAGTGGTAGCAGGAGCTGGTGCAATGCTGTCCAGGTAAGGGATTACAGGATGATTTTGGGTGGTGCCTCTTTGCTCCTCGTGGTTGCAGAGGTACACTGAAATAGTTACAGAATCATCTGCCAAAGTCCAAAGAGACAGTCTGAAACTGTAGGTAGAGGGTGAATTTCCAAAAGTTATTTTTCAACAGCCATTAACTGTGATTCCCATCATCCTGGAAGAGGGAACAGCTCTGGGGCCCCAGCAGATCCCTGCTGGCCCCAGCACCTCTGCTTGTGGAAGGAGAGGGAGTTCTGCTTGCTGCTCGTGTGACCCTTGAGTGTGTGTGTTACTGCAGCTCCAACTGCCTCTCCTGTCTGCCTGAGCCTGAGAGAGCTACCACACAAGGCAGGAAAATCACACCGTGTTAGTGCTCAGTGCTGCCTGCAGGAGAGCACGGCCCAGAGGGGAAGGAGGTGGCTCAGGAGGGACCACCCAGCACTACAGAGCATGGGTAACCTTAGTGAAGGGAGGTCTGTAGCAACACTGTCAGGCTGGGCTATCATCTGCATACCTGCGATTTTCTGCCTGTACTTGACACACATTTACGTAGTTTGGATCCATCTTATGAATTCTGCAAGATCTTATTTAAAACTGTTGCAGCAGGTGATAAAAAAGCCTGTATTAAAACAAATGCTTGGAGTCAATAAAGAAATACCTGCCCAAGACCTGCTGTGTGTGCAGGAGACTCAAACCAGGGAAAATCCACCCTAAGAGGAGCTTTAGTGCCACTACCTCAGCACTCATTTCTCCCAGTGACTCTGTACTGTGTTACTTTAACTGTGATAACCAAAACAAGCCTGCAAACAACTCATTGGCATTGTGGCTCTGCTGTCTCCCTCCCGAGCTCACCTGTCACCAGCTCTTTGATCTCAGGGTCCACAGACTTCCTGAGCAGCCGCAGCAGGGCCGGGATGCCGCCCACGTTCCGCATGGCCACCTTGTTCTCGTCCGTGGACTTGCCGTACACCAGGTTCCGCAGGGCCCCGCACGCGTTCTTCTGCACCTCCAGGACTCTGTGATCCAGCAGGTCCACCAGGTGCTTGATGCCCCCGAGCCTGTACACCTGCCAGGGGAACGAGGGGACCGTCAGCTCCCGGCACAGGGTGACACACCTTGATGTGTACATGTTTGTGTGGCTGTTTGGCTTAAAATGTTCAGTGCTTTTTATTGGCCTGAACACAAGGAGCATACAATGATCCCCAGTGAAAATCAAACTGGGATTTAGTCAAATCATTGCAACTTGATACTTGGAAAAACAGAATCTTCTCTCCATTTTGTTCTTGAACGTTGCATTGAGTATTACAAGAGTTCATGTCTTACCAGCACCTTAAACCAGCCAAATGGAAGAGGCTTGGAAAACCCCACTGGAATACAAGGTCTGTGACCAACACTGTGACATGTACCTGTCCAGCCACCTCTCCAGGAGAATGGAAGAAATAAAGTGACTTGGCAGCTTTCCAGACCTCTGGTTAAAAAGGTGTGTTTTTCCCAAGACTATATTTAGTTTATATTTATATTTACACACCCAGACACAGCTACCAGGCACGTTCTGTATCCAGGGGAGCAAAGTTTGGCCTTGATCCATCTGACTCTTGTGCCAAAACCCGCCAGGAATCTATCCAAAGGCATCCAGTGGACTTCTAGCTCAAAGTTATTCACCTGGCAAGACTTGTGTAGCCAGGAAATGAGTATTACCTTACAGATTCCTTAAATGACACAGACTGCACTGCAAGCATATACTACAGGATGCTCTAAAAAATTTAGAGTTATTATTTCTCATGGCAAATCATTCTCATTTCTGTTACTAAATAAGGAAGGAACCCACATAAAGACTGTCCTCCGTGTGTTTCTAGGGTTGTACTCCTTTCCTTTGCCTGACAGCTCACTCAGTCCCTACGATGCCTCAAAACACCTTGATCAAAACAGTGAGAGCCTTTCAAAGCCCTTGGTTGTTCCAGTCTCCAGTCACCAACAGGTGACACGCAACCAGGCAATGGCAAACGTACTTTACAGTTCGGCTGGATGACACAATCTCAAGGCAAAAGATTTCCACAGAATTTCCATGCAGCTCTTATGGCAGGCAAAACCTCAGAATGTGTGTGTAACTACACACACCCGGGTACGTCAGTACTGGCACACACAGAACACCGTGGTGTGATGGAAACAGGTGAGCAGAGGCCTAGTTGTCCCTGGACGTCTCCCCGTGGGCAGGAGCAGCACATACCTCTGTTTTCACCTTGTTGTCCCCGAAGCAGAGGTGCTGCAGGTAGGCAGCAGCGTTGGCCTGCACCGACGGGAACTGGTGCTGCAGCATGTGGATGACCTCGGGCAGCTCTGGGTCTCGCCACGCAAACTCCCTGTGTGGGGTGGCACATTGCAGAGAGGCATTACCCCCAAACCCACGGGCATCGGCCAGTACAGGCACTGCAGCATCCTAAGGGCTTTGCAACAACCTGTTTTGGTCCGGAGCAGGGCTAGGAGGAAAACCAGGTGTACTGGGATAACCATGAGTCACATCACCTTTCAGTGTTCCACCTGGGAAAGGACACTGTGTCCAACCTGCTTCAGCTGGCTCGGCTGTGGACCACAGACACACACTGAAGTTATACCAACTCACACTCTACAACCTACAGGAATCTCCCAGAACTTAAACATACACTGCAACAGATACTCCCTCAGCACTGCTGCTCCCAGACACCTCTTCCACACAGCACTTTTCTCAGCGCTCAACGTCCTTCCTAGGCTGAAGCCAATTGTGCCTCACCAAAACCTGCACACCCTGAAGTGTCATCACAGGGACCAGACACAGGAAGTTTGCTTCATTTGAGTTATTCAGGGACTGCAAATTTAAAATCATGAAAATGAAATCTTCACTAAACCACAGTGACTGTGCAGACCAGTCCTGGAAAAGCCATGAAACATGGCCATGCCCAGTTTGTGGGCCTAGAAACACAGTCATGAACACTTGCTGGGCTCTCTGCCTGCTGCACAGGAGGGCTGGGGGTGTAAAGCTGCATCCAGGTTTTCCCATGCTCAAAAATCCAAGCAAAACAAACAACAAAAGCAAACTGTGTTCCAAGAACAGTACCTGAGGAGCTGTCCCAAGGCTAATGCTGGCCTGGCCAGTGGGATCTCCCAGGACTCACAGTCACCTGAGGGGAAGCTCAGTTCTTTGCCCACTTTGAACGGCTCAGCAACTCAGAGGTTTATTTCTCCATACCAATGATAGGGAAACCTTAGGGAAAACTGCCTTTCTAATAAAGCTAGTGGCTTTCTGTATGCTCCCTCAGTCTCATTCCAGTGGTGCTTCCCAGCAGCCCACTCTGAGGTGTAACACCCACAGCAGCACGAAACGCACATCGGGAACGGGAACAGGCTCAGCGGAAGGTAAACACTGTTCCACTGTGAGGCTACAAGCTGGGAAGGTGCATCAGCAGTGACAGCTGAGCCAGAATTTCTTTAGAGCTCCTCGCTATGAACACGAAGCCTCCCTGTTACTAGCAGCTCCTGCTGTCACTGTGCCAGAGCAGGCAGCCAGCAAGCTTTACTACTCAGAGCTAAGATTAGCTCATTAACATCAGCTAGATGAATGTACCATCCAGCTAAATGAAATTAATCCGGTTTCTCAATAGCTATTAAAAAAATTAAACATATGGATTTCCACTAACAAACAGAGCACCAAAATCTATTAAGCCAGTGTTTTACTGTCGAGAGGGCAGGACAGGCCCAAGCCAGAGCGGCTGTGTGGTGCTGGGAGCCTGCAGAGGCAGAGACAGGAGTTCAGCGTGGAGCTCTCTCAAGCAGCAGGAGGTGCCCTGTGCTTCCATGGCCCAGGAGAGCCTGGCAGGTGCCTCAGTGAGCCAGGAATTCCTGCCCATGCCAAACCCACACTGAAGAGGTTTGGTGCCTCGTTCCCTCCAGGCTGTGCAGGTTCACATACAAGGTTTTAGTGCATAGTGTCTACAGCAAATGGCAATGTCACTTGTCACAGGACCATGCTGTGCACAGACACCTCCCACATCAAAGCTGGAATTATTTCAAAAATACACGTGCTCACTCTCAAACTGGCACATTTATGAATCATCTTTAAACTTACTTTGTTGCTGGCTGCCCAGAAAAATTCATTGAAATACGCTAGGTATGTGCTTTTGAATTTTCAAGCCCTGATTCCTGTTTGTATAAAGAGAAAACTCACTACAGTGCTACAGGATACTCTGTGGACTTGCTATAAAATATTGGGAATAATTCAGTCAAACATCACCAAAATTTGGAAGTATTTCCTGTAAGAGCTTCTACATGAAAATAAACATGGGAGAAAAACATAATAACAAGCAAACGTGTAACAGCTGCTCTGCTTTCTGCAGCAAGCAGACCGTGCTGCTATCCTGGCCACGCTGGGATCCCCGAGCACCAGGGGAGCAGAGGACTTGCCTGGGGTCCTTCTGGATGCTGTCGATGGAGGGGGAGCGCGTGGTGCCGCCGTCGGGCGCGGGG